TGTGTGTGTGTGCCTGTGTGTGTGCCTGTGTGTGTATGCGTGTATGCGTGTGCCTGTGCATGCGTGTGTGTGTGCTTATGTGTGCATGTGCGTGTATGTGTGTGTGCCTGTGCATGTGTGTGCGTGTGCATGTGCGTGTATGTGTGTGTGAGGCCAGTCCCGATGGGGACGTCCAGGTGTGCTTCTGGACCTTTGCATCCAAGACCCAGGGTTCACTGGGCTCCTGACCAGGTGCGTCTGCAGCGCTGCCCGCGTAGCACCTGCGCCCGCAGCTGCAAGGCCCGTGGACGTCCCGCTGCCTCCTCTGGCGGGACTGGGAGGTCAGCAGGCGGGTGGGGAGGGAAGGCCTGGTCCCAAGCTGGTCTCTCAGGTGGGAGAAGCAGCCGGCGAGCCTGGCCCTCGCCATTCCACCAACTGGACACAAAAGCCACAGTGACCAGCGGCCCGAGCTCCCCACATCCCACCAGCCACGGCTGGACGCCCTGAGACCCCCGCTGCAGAGCCAGCCGGCAAGAAGCAGGAAGGACCTGCAGCCGCTTAAACTCCAGCACGCAGTGTGATCGCCAGGGCAGCGGTGGGGGGAGGGGTGTGACCATGTCCACTTCCCCGGGAGCCCGCTCCAGGGACTCAGGTTCACCGAGTCCTGGATGGAACCTGCATCTGCATTTTTAACAAGAACCAGAGCCTTGCGGGGGGAGGAGGGCCAGGAGGGGAGGCCGGGAGGGGAGGCCAGAGGGGAGGCCAGGCTTCCTCTATCCCTGACGGGGCTGCTCCACGGCAGCGCTCAGGAGGGGCCTGGAGCAAGTGCTGGGGGTCCGAAGCCCCTGCCTCCCGCTGCACAATGCCAGCTTGGCCGAGGCTGTTGTGACAATTGTTTTATTGGGGGAGACGGGGCCACTGCAGGTGTCAAGCCGGGGAGCGCCCCGTGCTGATAAAACCCCCCTGAGCCGGGCCTGGGGGGCAGACCTGCAATCCCAGAGGTTTGGGGGGTTGGGACAGGAGAGTCCCAAGCCTGAGGCCATCCTGAGACCTGGTCTCAGTCTAAAGTACAGAGGGCTGCGCTGGGTGTGGACAGACAGACAGACAAACCCCGGCCTCCGTGTGCAGGGTAGATCAGGGACGAGACTGCCCTGGGTTTGGGAAGAGGTTTGGGGACAGGGAGGAGAGGCCATGTTGCTGGACCCACTTCCAGGGTTCCTAACTTGATTTCGGGACCCATGAACCAGCGGCCAGGTGCGGGGTGAGGCCTGCTGACCCCATCTGACCCCCGGGTCTGTGTGCAAGACTCCGGCTCGAGTCACCTGCTCGTGACACCGCCTACCATGTCCCTCCACGGTCACCCGTGACACTCAGGCCCGTGCCCCCCTCAGGGAGCACACCTGTGTGGACAGGTGGCGTCTAGCAAAGGCTCAGCGTGGGGACAGTTGGCCAGCTTGTGCCAACCTGGCTGACCCTCGCAGTCAGGGGGGGCCGCCAGCCCTCGGGAGGGACCTGCTGTGCCCATCTGCCTGGCACCGCGTACAGCAGGCGCTGTAGGTAGCTGGGCCCGCGCCAGCGGGTTGGCCGCGGGGAGTGCCACCGACTGTCCGCCGGCCCACCTGCTGACCCAGGGCGGCTGCGGCCTGGACCCTGGCGCATGGCGGGTCCCCTCCGAACCTGACACCGGCACGCATCACCGCCCACGGCCCGGCCTCGGGGCTTGTCTGTCTGTCCATCTGCCGGCCACTCCTGGGCCTGAACACTCTCTGGGAGCCCAGCCACTTGCTAGAGGAAGAGCCTCGCTCAGCCACCGACCGGCTGAGGGCCTGGACAGTCGCTCTCTCTGGGCCTCGGTTTCCTCATCAGTGACGACGGGGGAGGGTGGCCCATGTCTGTCCTCAGCTGCTGGCCAGAGGGGGAGGTTGTGGCCGCAGGCGACCTTCAGGGAAGACTTGTTGCGGCCCTACTACGTGCTGGAAGCTGTTATAGGAGCAAGGATACAGACCAGACGGGAGGTGGACCAAGTCCCTGTCCTCCTGGGGCCCACCGTCATCAACCAAGGAGGAGGGAGGGACCGCGCCAGGGGACAGGGCGGTGCGGACCACGCAAATGAAGTGACGGCGCGGAGGGGGCTGCCACGGAGGCCACGGAGGCCGACCCACGTGCGCAGGCAGGGATGGGCCTGCTCAGGGGGACCCAGCTCCCCTCCTCCTC